GTTCCCCTCCCCCCCGCGCCCAGACCCCCCCCCCCCCCCCAACTTCCAGACCTCCGGGAGCTGAACGCCAGCCCTCCCACAGCGATCCTGCCCCAGAAGCGCCCTCCTAACCCCCAGCGCGGTACTTAGCCCGGTGATAATTTAGCCCGGTGATAATTTAGCTGCACCCCTTTAACGAGGGCGGATCATCTCCTGCGCACAGCTCACCTTTTCATCCCACTGGAAGTCGGGGGCAATGGTGAGCTCTACTTTCAGGGTGGAGCGGGTAATAGGCTGCAAGTGGACCGAGAGCTCCAGCTTTGGGAAGAGGTGAACGTATTTGTGGATAGTCTTGCCCATCTTGGGCATACGGATCAGTTCCCCTGCAACAGAAAGGCGCTGCCGTCAGGACAGACGGACAACAGGGTGACCCAACGGCTCCCAAACGGAACACGGCGTGCAGTACGGGCAATCCAAGCAGCTGGAAGGCGGCAGGGCAAAGCCTCTGCCCTCCTCAGGCTGTACCAAGACCCTCATCCAGTTCCGCCCCTTCAATCGGACAGGAACAAGCCCCCCGGTTTCTGGGTCAAAACACGGCAGAGGAGAACAAAGAGGCAGACGCCTCTCCCCGCCGCATTTGCCCGGTGTCTCCGTACCTATTTCGTTATGGTTCAGGTCATAGAGGCGTTCAAACGGGAAATTCTTCTTCTCGATTTTCTTCACCACTTCTTCAGGCAGTTTCTTGAACTGGCGCAGAGGGCACATGGACTGCCACCTGCGAGGACGCCGCGGGGTGAGACAAGCAAAGAAGCAGAGACGAAGCCCTCAGAGCACCGAGGTTCCCCACGCTGCCCAAGACCAGCCCTCGGCCAGACACGGGCGGCAGCTCCTTTACACCCCGACAGGCACGAGCGCTCTCCTTCCCAAACGCTGCAGGCCTAGCCAAGCTATGCTGAAGAATCTCATCCTATGCCAGAGGCATCCAGCCTGCAATCAGAAAACACCTCCGAGACCTCACTTACATCCGTTTGTCAATCATCTTGCAGAGGTTAAGGGTCTTGTCGGTGAGCTGGGCCCAGCCACGGTTCAGGACGATCTCGAAGATGGCACGCATCAGCCGCCCAGCAGACTGGGGGAACAGAGAGCGGCTCTCAGGCCTCGGCTGCGATCATCGCGTTTAACTCTCCCTTCCTTTCTACCCATTTTCCTGCCCAGCCACATGATAATAGAATGGTTTGGGTGGGAAGGGGCCTTAAAGGTCATCTAGTCCAACCCCCCTGCCGCGGGCAGGGACATCTTCAACTAGATCAGGGTGCTCCGAGCCCCGTCCAGCCTGACCTTGAATGGTTCCGGGGATGGGGCAGCCACCACCTCTCTGGGCAACCTGGGCCAGTGCTTCACCGCCCTCAGAGTGAAGAATTTCTTCCTTATATCCAACCTAAACCTACCCTCTTTCAGTTTAAAACCGTTACCCCTTGTCCTACCGCTACAGGCCCTGGTAAAAAGTCTTTCCCCATCTTTCTTATAAGCCCCCTTTAAGTGCTGAATTATACTTAAAGGTCCTTCATCCCAAACGCCTACAGGTGGAGCGAGGCCTTGGGAACTTGGCCTCTGCGGTAGAAGAATAAGGCTACGCTGTAGTCCTCTAGCGCTGAATTATTTTGATTACAAATTGGAGAGTCCGATGAAGATCTAGTTCCCATCCTGATAGGGGTTAGACCTTCTCACCGCTCCCGGCTCTAGTTATTTTCAAAGCCATTTACGTCCACAAACTAAATTTCCGAGGTGCAAATACTTGTGTGAGGCCGAGACGCGGCCGGACCGCGCACACCTAAATGGAAACGGAGAGGCCCCGGAGTTCCCTCACTCACCTGGGTAACGTACACCATGTCTGCCATGAGAGCAAACCCTTCCAGCTTCAGCTGGGAGATGAAGGCCTGGAGGAGCACGTTGATCTGGGGAAGCAGAACAGAGAAGCCCTCAGCTCCCTCCGCACCAGCGCCCGATCCCGGGGGGGCTCTGACGCGTGGCAGGACAGAAGCGAGCAACGGGGACCGACCGTCCTACGCCGCAGGACAGCGCACTCAACCAGAGACAAAGAAGCACCCGCAGCTCTTCGAGCATCCCTGATGCGGTCCAGGGTGTCCCACAGAGGGAAGAGAACGGAAACCCACCCCGGGGGGAGCATTTACTATGACAGCTCTCTCCCAAGCATCACCGCTCCCCTCAAGACAGGCAGAGAAGTCCCCTGGAGGGGGCAGGCAGGGCTCACCTTGGCACTGGGCTCCTCTATGCTCTCCTTCACCGGGATGGGAACTCGCTCCAGCAACTTTTGAAGCTCGAGCTTCTCCTCCTGCAGAAAACCAAGGCAGGAGGAGAGGTGAGAACGGTCCCTCACAGGGCAAGCAGTGCCTTCAAGACCGATGCCTCAGGGCTGTCTCACTGGGGACGGGCGTCTGGCTCCATACCTCCCTCACGGTGATGTTCCTGAACTCCGAGGACAGCGAGAAGACCCGAAACAGCTCGATTTCACTCAGGGTGGGTTTCAGGAGCTGATTGTAAGTTTGCACCGTCTCGTTGGTGATGTAGTAGTGGCTGGCGATGCGGCCCAGCCCTGTCACCTGCCGCAAGGACAACAGCCAGAGTGAAGCAGCAGGAAGACACCCCACTGTCCGTGGCACAGACAGAAGACGCTGAGCAGGAACTAGGCCGCAGCAGGGGAGACGCCTCCAGACAAGCTAAGTGTAAACTCTCAGGCTACAAATCCCCCAGGAAAGCTGCTTTACCTGGCACCACAATTCCACACCCCACAGCCTCCCCTTTCTCATCTCACTGCCTCTGGAGCAATGAAAATGCAACGGGAATGTGAATTTGCTTAGGAGGCAGCAGCAAACACACAACAGCGACAGACCGAGGGTCAGGTTTTACACCAGGACTCTCCGTGCCGGCCAGCGGCTCCCCTGGAATCACAGACGTGCACGACAGCAGGTCTGAATGACGCAGCAGCACTCCCTGGGATCCGTATTTAATCAGCAAGATGCCTCTTGCACCCTTTCTCTCAGCCAGAGGATGCTCCCATCCAGCTCTGCTCGGTCACAGCGCCTTTCCCAGGTCCCGCCTCACCTGGAAGTTCCCCGTCTTCTTGTCGTACTTCACCAGGTTGTTCTTGTCCAACATGAGGGCTGCAGTGTGAACCAGATCCAGGCGGCGCTGGTCCAGCAGCGGATCCCCCTTCAGATCATCGTGGGATATCCCGTAGAGAGTGGGGGAGCGCAGCATTCGGATGTACAGGTAGGTATAGCCCAGCCAATTCACTGCGTCCTGAGGAAACACCAACGCGCCGTTAAGAGCCGACGGAACACGCCTCACGGCAAGCGAGGGCGACGTCCTGGCTCGGAGCCCGGTGCTCCCAGCACTAGCGCAGGACACAGCAGGCTGAGCCCAGCCGAATCCCGCCGCGTCAACATTAAACCAGAGCTTGGGCGCCCAGCAGTGCCACACACAACTCTTCCCCAGTACCAGAAAAATATTAAGGAATTAAAAACCAAAGAACCCCAACCCTCCACACGCAGACTTTTCCCCAGTGTCCTTCTCCACGTGGAGAACTCTGCTCTGAATTACAGAAGCATCTACCCACTTGCCTGACACGCCGGCCAGCCTTACAGGCCGGTAGCTCTCGTGGCTGCCCTTCCAGATCCCTTAAAAATTTGCTCCCCAGGCACCAAAGGTCGCAAGTTTCTTTGCTCCCGTACGACGACGATATCTTTCCCCCACGCGGATCATCCCTTGGCCCCCCGCAATTCCCACCAGCTCTCTGGGTGCAACAAAGGGCACGCGTACGTGGGGAAAGCAAAGACTGGCACTCGCCTTTGCGTTCTGGACATTGCCGAGCACAGTCTCCGCATTCAGCATGTCCGGGAGCTTCGACACCATCTGACTTTCAATGGGGAGCTGCTGGTTGAGCAGGGACAGGTAATACTGCAGCTCGCCGTGGGACGTGATGAGGATCCCCTCTCCTTTGGTATCGTACTGAGGCCTCCCGGCACGCCCCAGCATCTAAGAACCGAGAAAGCGAGGTCAGCAAAACAAAAAAGCTTTTAGCTCGGGCATTTCTCCTTGCCGCCGTGTCCCGGGGCTTTACTGCCAGGTTGCCCAGTCTGCTGTTACTTCTAGCTGGCAGGAGACACACAGAAATATCTCAGATGTGTCTGGGCAAGACGCTGGGAGAGGAATCATTCGTCCGCTCTCCTGCTGATCCGTTTCTCCTCTGCCCTCACAGCAGGGCTGTTCCCAGAACAGCCGAGGCAGCCTGACAGCAGAGAACAGGGAGCGACCGCACCGAGTCGAAATACGAAAGCGGACCTCAAAAACGCGCCTCGGTGGGGAAAGGAAAAACCCTGCCCCGGGTCCCGGCAGCACCTCTGTTACCAGAACTTCACCTGCAGGATGTCCAGAGCACCCAGCTCGGTCCAGCGCCCCTTCTCGGGGCTGTACACCTGCGTCCCCTTGATGATGACGGTGTGAGCAGGCAGGTTCACCCCCCAGGCCAGCGTGGCTGTGGAGACCAGCACCTGCAGGAGCAAAACAGCGATCAAAGCCAGGCAGAAGCCTCTTCCTAGGGGGAAAAAAAAAAAGGATCTAAAATGCTGGTCCTGACATTAGAGACACGCACAAAAGGGACAAAGTCTGAGAACTGTGGCTGTCTCGACAGCTCAGCAGAGGAAGATCAGATAAACAGCAAGATCTTTGCCCAAATTTCCCAGCTCGCTGCACGACTCCGAGAAAAGCCATTGCCTTCCATCTATAACGCAGCCAGGGAATGGCTTGGATGGGGTTTTGCTGAAGTGACAACTGTGGAGGAGACAGCCTGCTCTGGGACGGACCTCTAGCTTTAAACCCTCAGCTGGGCCCAGGGGAGAGGTTTTTGCCCTCTCCGCTCCCGGCCGTGTGCTTTTAGTTTCTATTCTTGACGCGAAAATCAAGGCTGCCTTCATCGGGATGGGGGTCGGCTACGCTTGGTCCTCTTGATTTTGCCCAAAGGGCTACTGGAAAACACGGCTCAAGCATTTCTTGTGAAGCAGCTACCCCAAACGCGGCAATTCCTCCTGGGAAGTGAGGCTCACCTGAATGTGCTTGTCGGCAAACAGATCCTCCACCAGCGTCCGGTCCACTCGCGTCATCCCGGCGTGGTGAATGGCGAAGCCGTAAGGAAGGAGGTCCTTCAGCTCCAGGTTCTGCAGCAGAAACGCAACCAGCTCTAGGTTTTCTACCCGAGCCGAGTAACGCCAGGGAGAAAAGAAGCAACAGCAGGTAGCCCGTATCCTAGAGGAAAAGCTGCAAAACTGCACCAAAGCGGCGGCACCTTTGCAGCTGCGCTCCTGCTATCGCTGTGTCAGAACAGCCCCGGCCGGGCAGTTACCTTGCACTGCTCAGCTTCGGTCCTCAGGACCTCGGTGGAGGCTGAGCCCTCCCGCAAGAAGAGGCCCAGGGTATCTTTCTCCAGGCACATGTCCCTGATGGCCCGGGCTGTCTTCCCAGTCTCCTTCCTGGAGTGAACAAACACCAGCACCTGTTAAACAAGCACACGGTACCATCGCTGAGAGAGGCATCATAGAATCATAGAATCATTAAGATCGGAAAAGACCTCTAAGATCATCAAGTCCAACCATCAACCCCACACCCCCATGCCCACTAAACCATGACCCTCAGCGCCTCATCCACATGTCTTTTAAATACCTCCAGGGATGGTGACTCAACCACTTCCCTGGGCAGCCTGTTCCAATGCTTGACAACCCTTTCGGTAAAGAAATTTTTCCCAATATCCCATCTAACCCTCCCCTGGCACAACTTGAGGCCGTTTCCTCTCGTCCTGTCGCTTGTTCCTTGGGAGAAGAGACCGACCCCCCCTCGCTACAGCCTCCTTTCAGGTAGTTGTAGAGAGCGATGAGGTCTCCCCTCAGCCTCCTTTTCTCCAGGCTAAACAACCCCAGCTCCCTCAGCCGCTCCTCATCAGACTTGTTCTCCAGACCCCTCACCAGCCTCGTTGCCCTTCTCTGGACACGCTCCAGCACCTCAACGTCCTTCTTGTAGTGAGGGGCCCAAAACTGAACACAGTATTCGAGGTGCGGCCTCACCAGTGCCGAGTACAGGGGCACGATCACTTCCCTACTCCTGCTGGCCACACCATTTCTGATACAGGCCAGGATGCCCTTGGCCTTCTTGGCCGCCTGGGCACACTGCCGGCTCATGTTCAGCCGGCTGTCGACCAACACCCCCAGGTCCTTTTCCGCCAGGCAGCTTTCCAGCCCCTCTTCCCCAAGCCTGTAGCGCTGCACGGGGTTGTTGTGGCCGAAGTGCAGGACCCGGCACAACAATCGCTACGGCTGCAGCTGGCAAAGATGCCTGACCCAACCCGCTCCTGGTGTTCAAGGTGGGAAGAGATCTAGAATCAGTCCAGATGCCCTGTGAACCACGCACAGAGCTCCTGATCTAGTGGGGCAGCATCACAAGAACTCCCTCATCCTAGAAGGACAGGTCATACGTTAATCAGACAGCTGGCACAGAGAGAAAAACTGTGTTCCCTCCTCTCTCAGCTGCCATCGACCACCCAACCCTACCCTCTTCTCCTCTGCGGCGTCTCTGCAGCGACAGCAGCTCGAAAGAGTCTCACCAGCAACAGACAAGAACGAGGATTAAGTGGGTCAGGAACAATAAAGTATCAAACCTGGTTCTTTCCAGCGTGCTCCATGATCTTCTCATAAACAATCTCATTCATTATCTGGAAGCGTTTGATTGCTTTCTTCTCTGTAATACCCACATAGGTCTGCTCTAGCGGCACTGGTCGGAAGCTGTAAGGAAAAAAATCAAGTCCATAAAAGAGCAGAAGAACGGAGAAACGCTGATACGAAGGTCCCGTCAAAAGGCATCCTGTATTTTGAGCCACCAAGGTCAACACCCTTCCTTTGTGCCTCAATCTGCTCAAAGAGATTTGATGGCTTCCAGTTCCACCCGGTTAGATTAAACAGTAGGGGACAGCAACAGGTATTCCTCTTCCCTGGAATCCATTTGCTAAGCACACACTCGGGGAGGAAAAATGGTGTTTCTGGAACTACCATAATCCTATTTTAGGCTTCCTTCAAACAGCTTCTGCAGCACACAGGTACAGCAGAGTTTTTCCGCCTTCTCTAAAGCACCTTCTCGCAAGTACGACAACGCAGGAACCCTGGCGCACACGTTGACGCTGTGTTTTAACCGCTCTAGTCCCAAACACGCATTTACCGGCACATCTAAGAGCAAATAAACGCGTGCGGAAAATAGGCCGAAGTAGCCTGGCGAGACCCTGGCACCGTCTGACAGATAAAACACCCAACTGCCTCCACGGGAGGCCCGTCTTCCCCAGCTCTCAACAGCCACCCACCCTCTGACGGCGGAGATCTCTCCCGGCTTCCCAGGAGGAGTTATCAAATCTGTTTATTATCACCTGTTATCAAAATAGAACAAGCCTTTGGCCGGGTCCACCCTCAGGAACGTCGCCACGTCCTCGTAGTTGGGGAGGGTGGCGCTCAAGCCAACGAGCCTCACGTCCTCCTGAGTCATCTCGATGTTGCGGATGGCTCTGGCTACCAGAGACTCCAGGACGGGTCCTCGGTCATCATGCAGTAGGTGTATCTCATCCTGAACGGGAACAGAGTTATCCCCGCTCCAAACCGGCTCTATTTACCCATTTTTTGGTTTAGTTTCTTAGCGGACCTGCCTGCTGGGACCGAGGCGCGCTCGTCCCACAGCTCAAAGCCCCGAGTCTCCCCACAGCCAAGCCGCCAGCGCCATCTTCCAACCGCTAACGCACGTTCAGGAACCGCAACGCCCAAAGACCCAGCGCCCCTCATCGCCCCCTCCCTCCTCCACGCCGGGGCTTTGCAGGCGCCGGCGCTGCTCACCAGGATGACCAGCCGCACCAGCTGGGTATAGGTGCGTTCTCCTCCCTTGCGGGTGATGATGTCCCACTTCTCCGGGGTGCAGACGATGATCTGGGTAGCGCTGATTTCCTCCTTGCACAGCTGGTGATCCCCCGTCAGCTCCGCCACGTTGATGCCGTAAGTTGCCAGGCGCTAGGAGGAAGCCCGCGGGCGGTTAAAGCCGGACGAACGCCGCGTTCCCCGGGGCGGCGTTAGAGCAGCGCGGCCCCCGAGACGCTCGCGGGCGGTTTCGTACTTATCCCGCTACAGCGTTGGAAGAAAACGGGCGGATTTCATAGCCCACCCCGACATCCAAAGCCCCTGCCAACGCACACGCAGAGCCCAGCGAGCCCAGGCTACACGAACAGAGATTCAAGGCGCAACCCAAACTCACCCTCTCCCGACAAGCTCCTGCCAGAGCTTCTATCCTTCTGTAAGCGCAGTCTAAAGAAGCCACCACAGTAAAGCTCATCTTCCCCAACCTACGGTTCGAGCAGGGGCAGGACCAAACCCCTCCTTACCTTCCCGAAGCTGCCCACCATCTCCTGCACCAAGGACCTCATGGGGGCGATGTAGATGATCTTGAAGTCGTCCACGTTGATGGTTCCGTCGATATTAATGTGTTTCCCTATTTCTCGCAACATGCACATGAGGGCCACGTTGGTCTTCCCGGCGCCCTAGGACGTAAGCAGAACCAGTCCCATCAAATCCGCGCCCTCTCCCGGGTCAAGGCTGGCCTGCAGCGGCCAGCCTCCTCCGCCCAAACAGATCGCCCTTCGGGATTCCCCGTCACGGAGGACCCGGGTATCGGGATCCTTACCGTGGGAGCACACAGCAGCAAGTTCTCGTCCGACTCCAGCGCGGCACGGTAGAGTTTGCTCTGAATACGGTTCAGCGTTTTAAACCCCTCGAATCCAGCCTGGGCGTATTTGGGCAACTTTTCCACAGAAACCAATTGCTGAAAAGGGAGAACGTCAAGCTCAACGCCTTTGTTTCAGCACCTCGCAGGCTGCAGGGCACGTGCGAGACCTCAGAGAGGCCCTGGGGAGTAGGAGGCTCGTGCTGTCTCCAGATGGCCAGGGGAGAAGCCCCGTGCCCAGGGATCGTGGAGCGGGTTAGGAAGAGATCAAACGGGGCTCGTTAGCTGGCCCGTGCACTCCGAAGAGTGCAAGTTATAGCTGGCTACGCCGTCAGAAAAGCAAACCCCCAGCACGTTCTCACGGCGGGACAGATCAGACCACATTTCTGCTGCCAGCACTGATCAAAAGAGGCAGTTTATCACAAGGCACGCCATGGATCAGCCAGATCTCTGGCCCGCACTGCGCATCGCAGCAGGGAGGGAGCAGAAGCAGAGCCGAGGGCTCAGCAAAGCCGCTAAACGGGGCAGGGGAGCCCCGAGACGGGAACCACGAGCACAGGATACGCCCTCCAGAAGCGAGAAACTAGAAACCAGGAACCCTCTCCTGCCACGTGAAATCTCTTAGCTTAAAATAACGGTTCTTCAAGAAGTCTGAGAGGGCGTCACAGCCACATCAAAGCCTCGAGTCCCAGGAAGTGTCTGTCACGATATTAGCAACAAGTTATAGAATCACAGAATAGTTTGGGTGGGAAGGGACCTCTAAAGGCCATCCAGTCCAACCCCCCTGCCCTGGGCAGGGACATCTTCAACTAGATCAGGTTGCCCAGAGCCCCGTCCAACCTGACCTTGAATGTTTCCAGGCATGCTGCATCCACCACCTCTCTGGGAAACCTGTTCCAGTGTTTCACCACCCTCATCGTAAAAAATTTCTTCCTTATATCTAGTCTGAATCTACCCCCGTTTAGTTTAAAGCCATTCCCCCTTGTCCTGTCGCAACAGGCCCTGCTAAAAAGTTTGCCCCCATCTTTCTTATGAGCCCCCTTTAAGTACTGACAGGCTGCAAGAAGGTCTCCCCGAAGCCGCCTCCTCTCCAGGCTGAACAACCCCAACTCTCTCAGCCTTTCTTCACAGCAGAGGTGTTCCATCCCCCTGATCATTTTCGTGACCCTCCTCCAGA